GAAATTTGAAATCGAGATAAGTATTGAGATATTTATTTTATTTGTTTACTATTAATGCTATATTTCTTAATATTGAGCACTTTACTTACAAAGACTGACTGTCTTAAAAACGTTATCTACTAATACACTGCTCGACCGACTTTTTTATTTCTTTTTTCGACGAAACACAATCTTTGCCATATATGACATGTAAAACAATCCACGGGTAAGTAATCCAAGTAGATCCTATTAATATAAAATATTAGAACTGATCCACAAAAGTGAGCTCAATATAATTTTTATTATAGAGTATACAAGTGAATTACAATTAATGAGAGCCAAGCAATTTACCTCATGCAGATGATCATTTCGTCCATAAGAAAATAGTTTGATAAGTCCAGGGAAAAACTACTTTCCCATGGACGAAGTAATTATCTGTACATATATATGTGCGCGTGTGTGTGTTAATGTGTGCGTGTATATATATATATATATATATATATATATATATATATATATATATTCATTCACAGACACACAAAACCTGCGGAGTATGGTTGGAGAATTTGTGGCAGACTATGCACCAGTTCTCTATATTCGTCTCTTCCAAAAAGTGTTGTGGTTTCTGCACAATCTTTAACCACTATAATCAAATGATATGTGCCGGTAGTCTGGCTGTTGGTTTTAAGAACTGAGCTGCTCATGCGTCGAAAACAACGCTCATCGGGGTGTACCAGCAATTACATATATGGTGTGTTTTTGTGAGTGTGTAAATGCACCCAACGCTAATTTTTAAGATATTATTGACTATATAAGCTGTTGAAATCTGATTTTCTAACTAATCACACACACACACACACACACACACACACACACACACACACACACACACACATATATATATATATATATATATATATATATATATATATATATATATATATATAAAAAGAAATTAAAAATAATAATGTTTTTATGAACGTATTTATTTATTTATATATATATTTGATATGTCAGATTTACCTCAATCTTCAGAAATAAATCATCAATAAATGAGTTATTTCTGAAGAAACATTGAGGTCAATCTGAAATATCAAATATATATATAAAAAAATAAATACTTTCATAAAAAACCTTATTATTTTTTTAATTTGCAACTTTTTCTATATATACATATTAAGAAAGTATACGTGGTTTCTCATTATGCTATATATATATATATATATATTTTATATCTTAATAAACACAAAAAAGGAATATAAAACTCAGTTTTCAGAACAATAGGTTTAATACAAATTTGACAGGAGAATTATGCACAATAGGAAAAGACAAAATTATTCGTACAGTATGAAAAATAGAAAAAATCGAATAACTTTCACAATATTAATAGTCAATATCATGTCCTCTCATTTTTTTTTAACTTGTAGCAATCTTTTTCTACATTTTTTTTATGTTAAATTTTTGTTTTTTCTAAATTTTGATGAGATTTAAACAAGTCTTTTCTGGGATTTTCTTCCATTCTTCAATAGTTACATGTCCTAATTCCTGAAGGATTTTTAGTGCTCAGCGATTTATTCGAACTTTCAATTCTTGCCATAGATTGTCAATAGGATTCCCGTCAGTACTCCTTGAAGGCCATGGCAGAACTGTAATCTTCTTTTTCTGGAGCCACACAATCACTGATTTATACGTATGTTTTGGATCATTATCTTGCTGGAAAGTAAATCACCGACCTAGATGAAAATTTTGCGCTGATAGTTGTAGATTTTCATCCAGAATTTTCATATAGTCTGCAGATTTCATTATTCCTCTTATTGTAATTAATTGCCAAGTCCCTCTTGAGCTAAAACAACTCAAAAACATCATCGAGCCGCCTCCATGTTTTAATGTTCCCACTGTGTTCTTTGGGAGGAAAGACTCATCTTTCTTACGCCAAATCGATATTTTCTACTGTACGAATAATTTTGTCTTTTCCTATTTTGCATAATTCGCCTGTCAAATTTATTGTAATTAACCTATTGTTCTGAAAACTGAGTTTTAGATTCATTTTTCTGTGCTTATTAAAAAAACTCGCATCATACGGCATTAGATTTTGAAAAATGGATAAAAATATTCAAAATTAATGGGTGTACGATTAATTTTGGCGTTGACCATATATATATATATATATATATAAACAAGAAATCACGTAAATACAAATATATTCCCCACTGATCCCAGTAAAAAAAACTAATGATATATTATATAAAATTTAACAAAACCATCACAATACAGGAAAATACTTGTTGACAACACTAATATACTACACCACGAAAATAAATAAAAATTTCAAATTCCCAAAACCCTCTATATCAAAATCAACCAACGAACACTCAACAAAATTTATTATGGGTGTAGCAGCAACGTATTGGAGTGCATAAGACAAACATTTAATGTGATTTTTCATTTCTATCAATTTCCGGTCATCCCTTATATTGAAAAGTCTGTTTTGCAAAAAAAAAAAGTCCATAACTACAACAGATACATTTTGAAATAAATACAGAACATGTTCGCAGGTTTTGGTTTTTTTTTAATCACCATCACAAAGGAATGCAGATTTTATCGCAGTTACAATAAGTTTGTCTTCGTAATTTATCTTGGAAAAGATATAAAGTACTCGAGTTAGCAAAAAAAATATGGCGTATCCCTTGATGAATTTCATCCAAACATCAACAAAACTGATTAGACAACTGGAAAGCATCAATATAAAAGTAGACAGACACAATATGCCTATATTATTCAATGAAACATGTTATATATATATATATATATATATATATATATATAAAGTATCCCACAGTGATTTCTGTTGTTAATAAAACAGTGTCTGATATATAACAGAGTTGAAATTTATATTAATAACTATACATTTTTCTGCACCTGACGATTGCATCAGATTTGTGCTATCGTTGATGAACAAAATGTATATTTATTATTAGTATATATATATATATATATATATATATATATATATATATATATATATAGTTTATGTAATGTAGTAGTTTACTATTAAATATATATGTTTATTTAATCATCTTGAATGTGCGCGTAGCGTAGCGTTCATCAGTGCGGAAAGTGGGATCGGTGAAACACAAAGAGGTCAGCTTACAAAATCCTTAAAAACAAAAATAACGCAAATATCTTTGATAAAACTAGGCACATAATACAACCTCCCAACTCAATAACAACTACAATCGAAAATAATTTGTCTAAAATTAACATAAAATTTGTTACAAATACTTTAAAAACAAAAAGTGTTTTAATTAACACAAGGCACAATAATAACTAGATTAAACTTGAAATAAGAATTTAAAAAATGAACTTCAAAATGCCCTGAAAAATATATAGGTGAAACTTCAAAGAATTAACTAAAAGATCTCATTGACACAAAAGTTATGAATGTTTGTCTTTAATTGCAAAAGATTTAATAGTAGAAACATACTTCTTTCTTTCTTTTTATATGCCATATCCTTTCAGGACGTCGGCGATCATGGCTCTCCACCTCCCTCTATCTCTTGCATCTCTCAACAAGTTCCTTCCCTCTGTTTCCTCCCCCAGACCACGTTCTGTCATCCACTTGCTTATGCCCGCCAGGTATGTCACGCGTTGTTTTCCATTGTCTCTCTTTCCCTCTATTCGGCCCGTGAGTATCAGATTCTCTAGACCCTCCTTCCTCATTATATGCCCCAGAAAACTTCAGCTGCCTTTTCCTGATATTAAGTATAAGCCTCCTCCTTCTTTACAACCTCTCTAAGACGTCATCGTTGCTCACACGCTCGGTCCATGATATCCTTAGCATCCTTATGTAGAACCACATCTCCGTCGCCTCGAGTCTCTTCTTCATCTTTGAGGAAATCGTTCAACATTCGCTGCCGTAAAGAACGACAGATGTCACGTGACAGTTCGGTATTCTTTTCTTTGTTACCAAAGATATCCTCTGTACTCTACCCAGCTTTTGGAATGTGTCCTTGGCCATCCCAATACATCTACGGATTTCAGTGTGGCACATACCGTCCTCTGACAAAACGCTTCCCAGATATTTAAACTTCCGCGTCTGCTTGATTCTAATGTTCCCGACCTTCAAATCGAGTTTCGGGTTCATCTTCTTACTGATGACCATGCATTCTGTCTTCTTGTAAAACACACTAAGTATACCAAAATGAACCCAAAAGTCTCAGCATTCCAAATCTTGTTTTAAAGATAGTCTCCTCCCCCAACAATCATGATACAAGAGTCGGTAGAAAACTAAAATCTGTTCTTCAATTACAACAGATTTAAAATCGTAAAAGGTTGATTTTTTTTCTTATTCTACATATTTAGTATACAAATAGTGTCGAGGTATAAAAATATTATACATGGTGGAGTGTAGGATGATTGTAAAGCGTCAACTGCCAAATGTACAATAGAGATCGAATCGAAATTGATAGATACAGTGGTGGCAGCTTACCGTTTCGCACCGGTTCACGTGAACCGATTCTTAAAATTATAAATGCTTAGCGAACCGGTTCTTGGATTATCCGACAATAATCTTATATATTAATACGCTGATATATAATAGCTAAAATATAAGTAATACCATTGCTGTAAGTTTTGAGTTGTCTAAAATAGGGTTTTCTGTGATGAAATGAAAACGTCTTGAGGATAAAAATGTGGCAAATCTTCTATTCTATGAATTTGATAGGTGTTCCATTTTTGAAACTGCAGCGATTCAGTTTGAATGAAGCTAAGAAATCATAACACAGCTGATGACACTAAGAGTCAAAAAGCATTATACTTCTGAACAGAAATATGATGTGAACAGAATTTCGATCTGGAAATATCTTAAATGTTTTCTATTAAATTATCAAAATGGTTTAATTCTTTTCGATACTATAAGTTGATTTTTTCCATTCATCGATTGAATCGAAAATAAGCAGAATAAGTTCCTAAAGATTACCTTCCTTTATAAAGCCCACTCCTGGAAATTTGGGATGCAATTATTAGATAGATAGATAGATAGATAGATAGATAGATAGATAGATAGATAGATAACATGTCTGTGATTTAGTCAGTCATTGACGGCATTGTGATATCAGAAGTACAAACAAAATTTTGAGAAACGTAATCGTAACGTTATTGATGACGAAATCTACACAGTACAGATGCGAAGTAGAATGAGCAAAATAATAAATAGACGAATAAAAAAAAATAAACAGATGTTAATGATATTGTTGATAATAATAATAATGATGAAAGGAAGCGAAAGAAATTATTTGGCAGAAGAGAGAAAAATACATCAAAAGGATCCAGAAATTAAAAGCATAATCGTAAAGAAAAAAAGGGAAAGTTATATAAAAAAAAAAGATGATAAAGAAAATCTCGGCTGCCTGCTGTGAACGATGTGTTTGTGACAAAAACAAGATTGATAGTAGAAGCGGAACGAAACCAACTTTTCTCAGACGAAAAGCACAATTAATGGATTTATCGGCAATTTGCATGCAACTGTTTGATGTTTTTTTATCTTGTATTTAATTGGCATGAATATAGTATTATTAATCATTGCTTCTGTGTATGCAAAGGTGGGTAACTTTTTTGTTTTGTTTTTTAATGTACATTTTATCAATGTATGTACGCACACACACACACACATTTTCACGATCAATTGAATTTCCAGCAGTGTCCCAAAAATGTATAGACTTTGTTTATTAATAACAGGTCTGGTTATTACCTGGAAATGTCATAATGTTTGGAAAATTTTTTAATGAGACTTTCTCTTGGATATTCGACATGTTCGGAAGAAAGAATCTTAATAACGAAAACTAATTAAAATTGAATTATTTTAAACTATTAAAAAAAGTCTTACTAATTTATGAAATGTTAGGTTGTTTTCAAGTAGAGAAAAATAAGTTTCACAGTTAAAACACATAGGTTGATTGACATTTAAATAAAGTCACAGGAAAAAAGTCACAGGAAAAAAGTCACAATTTTGACTAGGCAAAAAAAAAAATGTCACAACTTAGTTTTTTGACAATCCATTGGCGCAAAGATTTTTGAACTATGCTTATTACTATCAATAATTTTCATGACAGGAGGCATCAAAATTATTTTTCACTAAATGCAAGTGTTGTTGATTCACAAAAGCACTGGGATCGTAGATGCCCACTATTCATGCTGAGTTATGGTCAGTGTTAGAATTATGGATAATAAATAGATTTAGGGTTAGCGTTAGGGTTTGAAAAATGTCTGTTAAAGAAAGACGCAGAAACAGTGCTAACATTGTCCTGTTTCTTTTTTTTCCTGTGACTTTATTCCGTGACTTTTTCTCCTGTGTCTTTTTATCTATGACTTTTTACCTGAATTCGATATTTATTATTTATAACGCTACAATAGGAAAAAAAAATGATGGCTTATTTTTAAATTCCTTATCATTCTGTTTTCACATGTTAGTCTTTCTACATATCTTTGTCCATCTATTAATATTTAGTCATTCTGTGGGGTCATTTTCCTACAAGAGAAACTGACACTCCACTTTATGTCCAGTAGAATGTTTGGTTTATACCTGTTTATCCACGCCATGAAAAATAACGACTTTTTTTTATTAATTCCTTGTTATTATTAGGTTTTCGCGTGTGAGTCTTCAAAAATATAAATGTTCAGTTATTTTATGTTATAATTTTGGTGTGATCATCTTGTTATTTAATAACAATGGAAAAACAATCCCTCACCTTATATCCAGTACATTCTTATACTAATAACGGTTTACTCACACCGTAACAATTATGTCGTTTTTTTGTTTTGTTTTGTTTTTGTTTTTTTGTTTTGTTTTGTTTTTGTTTTTGTTTTTGTTGTTTTTATTAAGATTTCACATGCGAGTCAAAAATATAAATTTCCAATTTCCTTTTCTTTTTTTCTTCTTTTCGCAATCAGTTGACACCCAAGCAAGGCGATAATGCTACTAAGACGCTAGAGGCTACTGGGAGTGAAAGAAAATTAAAAGACTTTACAAGGAACCAGAAACTCTATCCTAAAGAGGAAATAGGAGATAAACCGCTTCTCTACTTCTAGGAGTGTGAAATGGACGATAGGCGAACTTATTTTATTACTTAATAACAATAAAAAACTGATCCTCCACTTTATGTCCAGTACATTCTGATACTAATAACGGTTTATTCACACCGTCACAAATATTTTTGTTAATTCTTTGATTTTATTAGGTTTTCATATAAGAGTCGTTAAATATATTTTCAAATTGTTATATTAATATTTAATAATTTTAGATTTTTAACATTTTTATTACTTAACATTACTTGTGAGTTTTTAAATATATAAATTTCCGAGGGAAGGGACATAACTCTATAGAGCAAAAAGTTACAGACAAAAATCATATTGTTGAGATTTATTCTTTATTGCAAAAGTATTTAATTAACATGTACATAATATCCACTGCTGCTATTAAAAAACATGTAATTAAGCTAAAGTTATAATGCAAAAAAAATGATATTGAATTCATTCACTCATAAAACTACTTTTTGCATCCATTTTTTCAAATAAGTTATTTATTATATAACTTATAAATTATCATTTTTATGTAAATAAACTATTAATTATTTAAGAGATAGTATTCTATAAATATCATTTAATAGTCATTCCTCTTGAAAAAAACATGTTTATTTTTATGTATTCATTTCAACGCGAATGTAAACGCCAAATTATATCTGTCATTTAAACATGTAAATCAGGCAGATTTGTATTTTTTTTCTTTTTGTACTTTGCATTCATTAATTTAGCACGTTTTGGCTATTTAGAGCTTACGGACATACATACAAAGTCAGACTTTGAGTATTAAAAACATATATGCACATTTTTGTAAGGCCGTGCATGCAAATATGAACTACATATATAGTGGTCTCTTTCGTCTTATTCAAGTAGCCCAGTTCCTATGAACCGACAGCCAAACACTAGCATATGTGATTTGATTATAATGTTGAAAGCTTTGTACAAAACCACACTTTTTGAAGGTCCCCAAAAAATCAGAGTTGTCCAAAGCTATATAACCCAGTCTGTCCTGCTATTTACCCAGAGCTGGAGGGGGAATAAGAGGATTAACATTTTTCCCGTAAGTGAATGTAATGGATTCGACTGGAATCCGAACTCGGCCCTCGGATTCCTCAATCCGAGCCACTATCCGATACTCCACCATGCCTAACTACAATATAAACTGTTATAGGAATCACTGCTATTATATATGAGCAATCATATAAATGCTCATATATATAGGCAGATATGGTTGTAGACGAATGAACGTTATTTATGCTTGTTTTCATTTAATTTTTCTACAGTTCAGACAATTGTTTATTTGGACGTTCCTGAGAGTCGCGGCTTAAAAACATCCGTGGGATTCATGCTGGATTATTTTTCCAATGTAGCGCTATTGAACAATTATGTTCATGTTCTTCCCAGAACACCCAAAAATGGCCAGAACAATAAATAAATGAATAAATAATAAATCTATAAAGAAAACAACTTTCGTTTCTATTCAACCAGACCTGCATAAATTAAAAATTTCTAAAACACACACACACACAAACAAATATATATATATGGATGATTGAAGTTTAAAAGCAGTAAATTCGACTTTGCTAACCGAACGATCCTCTGTGGCCGAATCGGTTTAAAAAAAAAGGCACGTCAGGCTATATGACGGTTCCGTATAAGATACAGGTTCGAATCCTATCGGAGGACGAATATTTTCTATGAAGATTTCTCGGATATTTCAGGCCGGTAAATGTTGTTTAATACCGTTTATTATAAACAGAGCATTTACTTAAATATTTGTATCTATAAAAAGAATGTATAAACATAAAATGTCTTAAAATATATATATATATATATATATATATATATATATATTATTGAATATACATAATATCCAACTTCGATAGCACGACTCGGAGTTTCATGCAGTTGACGCAATCTTCAGGTACGGATATATATATATATATATATATATATATATATATATATATATATATATATATATATATATATGAAAAGTGTATATAAATATAAATAAATATATATATGTATAATTATTTATATATATATGCGCGGTACTTATTAGAAAGCGCTCAATATCAGAGATAGAGCTAACATATTTGTTGATAGATGTGAGTTTGTGACCCTGGGTTTCGCGCTTTAGCGTTTGTCTGACGATCGCTAAAGCGTGAAACCTAGGGTCACAAACTCACATCTATGCAAACAAATATATATATATATATATATATATATATATATATATATATATATATATCTGTGTGTGAACAATAAAAAATATTAAAAATTTAAATTTTCAGACGCACTAGGTTGTATAATTTTTTTTTTTTGTTTTATTATTTCAGTTAGGTTCCTCGACTAGCTTCGAACAGCATGGCCATCATCAGAAGAAAAAAATCCCTGCTTGTTAGCAGCAGTTAACTACAAGATTGAAATACTGTCTCTGATGAAAGTGGTCTTTGATTTGCTTTTTATCGTTAATTGTATTGTCCTTGTATTGGTTAAACAGCCTCTTTCAAGTTGTTTTTAAGATGGAGGCTGAGAGATTCATGAGTCTCAGAATTCCCTCTTTGGTCATTTTGATAGTTTTATTGTTTATATATATATATATATATATATATATATATATACAATTAAATATACACTTAACTTGTCTCTACTTTCGTGGAAAATATATCCACTCTTCAGCAGACAAAATTATAAAATTGCATTTATTGTATTTATTTATTTATTGCAAAACCTGCTTGTTTTAAAAGTCATCAAGAAACACCTTCTGTCTGACTGCGTATGTGTGTGAGTGTATGTTAAAGATATATATATATATATATATATATATATATATATATATATATGCTGATTATATGTGTGCGTAAAGCATATGTATTTATATTTTATATAGTCATCTGTGGTTACGCTGTGTATTCATGTTACTGCTACACACACACACTTAGACAGACGCATATATGTCAGTGTGTATACTTATATAACATTTATGTGTGGAATA